AATTCTGGGAGTTGAAGTCCACACCTCTTAAAAGTTGCTGAGGTTGAGAAACACTGCATTACAATTTAATGCACCAGAACATGTGAATGGATCCAATTCTGTCTCATTCCCATTAATTCAGAGGTTGCATAATACAGGATTAGATTCAGTTACAGCACTCGGCAAGACTCAGAGTAACCACCAGTCAGTTCCTCCTTCAACTTAGATAATAATAAACCAGGATATTTTAAAACTGAACAGTTGCATTTGCCTAAGATGGTAGGTTTAAATCTTTCTTTCTTTTGGGGTGACTTTAGACGTTGTCCAAATCCAACTCCTTTGGTTAGTTTAGGATTTAATATATTGTGCAATTTTTTAAAAAAAGGTTTAATTCACTAACCACCACTAAGGAAGTCATGTGAACACAGGTCACAGTGTTACTTTGAATAACTTTTTATGGGTGCATAAATGAAGCAAGCAGATTACATTGAAAGCACCAGGAAATTTGCAATGGGCTCTTGTTTTCTTCCAGCCATATGTACTTAAAGGCCAAAATCACTGATGAATTTCTTTGGAACTGTTTCCAAGGAAAAAGGGTTCAAAGTCTGTTTACTTTCTCCAACTTCCTTTTCTCTAAAGCTTCCGGCAAGCCCAACAGTAACTTAGCTTAACCCAAGCAAATGCAACGTAAACACAGCTTAAAAGCTGGTTCATATAACATGGTAATCTAGAATAACATTGGTTGAGTACTTTCTAAGACAGTAAGAACACAGTCAATATCTTAGCAACTTGCACAACCATTCTGTAGGTTTTCATGGTTGGGGCATGGCACCTTATAAGAACAGAGCAAGTGGGTTTCTTTAACTTAGGCTCAGGGTGCATCTTTGTAAGGCCAGCCATGCTGTTCTTCCCCTTGTGCCAATATTTGGACTGTGAGCTTCTTATGGGCAGAAGCCTGTTCTTATAACTTGCCACAGGGGAAAACACAAACAGTAACAACCAGTTGCCCGCAATCGATTTACTTTTTTGTGATGATGGTCTTCGTGATTCCTTGGGATGGTGTGATGGTTAGTTTTTCTTGCCTCAGCCTGAAGATTTCCTGAAAGATTAACCAAAAAAACCCCCACATTTTAGGCAAAAAGACATAATCACATGTAGACTATTCAACATTCCAAATCCTGCAGTTTCTTTAGCCATCCAGAGTATTCCTAATGTTGATTAGGTTTGCTGGAAATAAGACCCCTAGGAAAGGAGACGTAAATTAGAGTGACTAGGATGAAATTCTGACCTCCGCTCATGGACAGCAAGCCTCCCTGGAACCCAGGACCTAGACAGACAGTTGGGAGAACTCTGTAGGGTTGAGAAAGGGATACAGTTGGGTTCTTGGTGATTCCTGAGCTTATTTTCCTGCAGATATTTCATTACCAAGCTAGGTAACACCATCAGTGCAGGAGGGAGTGAAGTGTTGCTGCTGTTTATATACAGTAGCTTGCCTTGCCAGCCTTGGTTGGGGTGAGGTTTCTTCCTTGGTGGTTCCTTGATTAGGGATAAAGCATATGCAAGCCAGGAACCTGTTCCAACCCTCAGTGCAGCACTTCTTACCTCCTCCTGCCGCTTGATGCAAGCCTCCTTCTCTTCCAGTTTGAGCATAAACTCTTGCAGTTTCATCTGGAGGTCAACGTCGCTCCCTTGCTTTCTTGTGAAATCCCTCTGGAATTCTGACAACTGGGACTATAGCAACAACAAAGCATATATTAACATGTGCTCAAGAGGCAGCTCTGTCATAGCTAAATGTCTTTGAGTAAAGTTTAATCCCTGATGGATGTAACTATGTCGTTTTCCAGGTAATAACAGGGTAGAAGCCGTTTGCACTACCTTCTGGAATGTTTTGTAACCTCCCAGGCTAGCCTACACCTCTGGGATGTCCCGGGGGTCTCCCATCCAACTGTTCAACAAGCTCAACCCAGCCTAGGTTCCAGGCCCAGACAAGGCCAGCCAGGCACCCCCCCCCCCCCCTGCTGTTGAGGCCCCAGCTCTGCAAAGCAGGAATGGCTTAAAGAGAGCCAACCAATAAGGCATCTTCGATAAGGAAGCCAACTTACCCGCAGATTGCGGATCTCTCGGTCCTTATCCTCTCTGAGTTGGTTGATCATCTCTACGTAGCGGCTGGAGAGCTCATCTGTGGTGGTCTGGCCCAGAGGATTGGTGGAAGTCTGAGCAGAGGAAATATTTTAGTTTCTGCAATTAAAAAAACCACTAACAATTCTTTAAAGCAACCTCACCATAATGGGAGTTATTTATTCTAAGGACCAATTTTCTTTCTTTCTTTCATTCATTCATTCATTCATTCATTCATTCATTCATTCATTCATTCATCCATCCATCCATCCATCCATCCATCCATCCATCCATCCATCCATCCATCCATCCCCCCACCCACTCAGTCATCTACTGTCAGCCCCAACAGGTAGACCAGACCAGGAAATCTACTCCATCCAAAGGAAGACTAGGACAACCTTAACTGAGAATGGCTATGATAACAGAATCTTGCACAACTGATTGGGCTGTGAATGAGTGAGATGTCTGCTTGAGCCTCTTCCAAATATTACCTTGTTTCCCAGAGCTTAAAGAAGGTTTCACCCCACTAGGTAACAGTTCTTGCATATTTCCATCAAAATCATCTTCCTTACTCTCTACACCTATCTCAGGGAGCACCAGACAATGTTCATAAGTTGTCTCCCCTCATTTTATTCCCAGAAAAGACCTGTGATATAGGGCAGGCTAAGAAAAACTGGTCCTAAGTCCCCAATGAATTGCATGGCAAAGAGGGCGCTCCAATCTCAGACTCCCTGCTCCTAGTCCAGCATCTTATCCACTGAGCTATCTGCATTATCTTACACTGATCCAAATAATTCAGTGCGGTTTATGTTGACTGACAACCATTGTCCAAAATCTTTGCTAATA